TAATGCAATATTTTGCTCAAAGGCATAAAAACATATAGAAAATGCTTAAAAAGTGACCCTATGAATGTATTTCCAGCATGAGTCACTCTCCTGTGAGGCAGTTACTATAAAAAGTCTAAACTTCTTTCCTAATATAACCCAAGGAGAAATATTAGTGGAACGCAATTTGAACAGTCTTGTCTTCAAATAATGAAACTCAGGATTGACAGCAGATGAGAACAGAATGGCCTAATAAGTCTGTGACTGCTTCAGATTGTAAAAACCAGTGGACTGCTTCTCCATGCTATATTTTGTATAAATTATCATGCAATTCTTCATAAAGTCAAAGCCTCATAAACTAAATAGTCCAGGGTAGTGCCCGTGCTTAGTTCTATTGAACCAATCTCTTGCACAGCATTAATTGCCATTAGATATTTTTGTCTTTTACATTTTCTATCTTACATGTAATCCAACCAGCCAGGTGATAATTATTTGTGGATTAGGTCTAAACAACCCAAAATTCCATATTCACATATGGTACTTTTACTGTTGAGAATGGGATAATAACGTGGCCTTGTATGACAAAGTGGAATTGAAAAGGGTTTTTTTTTTTTTTTTTTTTTTTTAAAGTAAAAAATATGACATACCTATCTGCTCTGTGCACAGAGCAGCCCCGATCCTCCTCTTCTCAAGTGCCCCACTGGCGCTTCTGTCTCCTCACCCACAGCAAGTCACTTGCTATGGGTGCACCCACGTGTCCTTGGCTCTTACACTTGATGTCTCTCCTTGCCTATTCTCTGGTTTGCCACTGTTCATCTATCTGCTGAACACCATAAAATAGTAACTTAGGCCTTTGCCTTTTCTACAGCTGTACCTAAAAGCTGCCTATATAACTTTTACCTGTTTATGAACTATAGCCTTGTGGATGATTTTGTACTTTTCTGCATTCGACTGCCAAAAATGTTCTGAAAATTTAAACAATTCAGCTAAATTTTTCAACAAAAATGTTTTGATATTTATCTCTTTAAGGCCCCTTTCACATGAAGGGTCTGATCAAGTCAGCCTGTCAGTTTTTTCAGGTGGACCTGATCGGTCGGTCCATTTACCCCGATGGACTGGCAAGTATAAACAGACTTGTGTCCGTTTACACCTGCCTATATCCAATCCGATCAAGAAAAGAAAGGGGATCCACCCTCTATCATCTTGGTGGATAAAAAGGCAGTTGGATATAAATGGACAGCAGAGTCTGTTTACCTCTTGGCTCCATGGACAGATCCCCTGCTGGTCTGCCCATGTGAAAGGGGCCTTACTCATTCCTACCTGCCCCCCCCCCCCCCAAAAAAAAAAAAAAAAAATTGCTACTTTTTGTTTCCCTCCTACCTATTAGGTCTCGTTGCTGGGATTGCAATTCACCATCAAGTTTTGCCCTGACTTCAATAAAATGCTGTGTTCTCTACTATATACTCTTATTTTCTCCCCAGACCTGGGTTTAACTAAAGTGGGTGCATCTCTATAAGGAGCTACTTTCCTCTGAATCACCAAACCTAAACCATATCATCACCAAAAAGGACCAGTGTAGTGGTTAATGAACTTTTTCACTCACCATTTCCTGCAGCTCTAACATTAGAGCTTAGATTTTATTATGCTATAATGGTTTTCAAATCAGTAATAGGAATATATGATCTTGAGAGATAATTTGCGCACAGAAGAATGTTCCCTGTATTATACTCATCCTGGGTCACTGCACATGCGGACACGCAAAGCATATTTATTTACAAAGAACTCACTGATCTGTCAACATTGTACTGACATATTCAAGTAACCCTTTGTCAATGTTCCCAGTGACATAAATCACTTTACTTCCAGTCTCTCACACTGCTGCTACTACTGCTGCTGCCTCAATGAACTTCAGAAATCAAAAGGAAACCAAGGCACAAAAAAAAAACATTATGAACACTGGCTACAGATACAAAACAGTACAGCCCCCTCCTGTTCCTTATGAAAGTACCCATTGAACCCTTTTTTATTTTTTTTTTCTGCACATCCATTTGTGCACTATGAGTAAGTGGGTGCAAAAACTTGGTCCAGTATTCAATATGGTGCCTTTTTTTTTTGCCACAATTTTGTTAATGTAGCATGTGGAACGGACCTTTCATTACAGATTATCCACCCAACGCTGCTCTCCTTGCTTCCTAAAAATCTTAACAGTTAATTGGAGTCTTGTAATTTTTACTTTGGCTGCAGAAACCATTACTCTTAGATCCCATTGGGAGATAGTCATGGCTACTCATGGGGAATATCTGAATTCAGATTCTCTGGCCCTGCTCTTCAGCAAATATCACATGATTATTTGCCTAGCCACTTGTTAATGTGATTGGCTGTTGATGCATTCTAGAAATGGGTTTAAAAGATCCTCCGGGCTCTGTTATAGGACTGTGCAGCACAGAAAATTAATGTATAATGGCAATGTTGAGCAAGGGACCTATATATAAATACACAGAAATTGCATCGCTAAAAACAAATTCTTAAATAAATGTTTTCATATAATGAAAAGTCCAGTCCAGATCTTTTTATATGTAGAAGACAAAAAGTTCATCAACCAAGACCCAACAGATATCCGAAACCACCAAAAGGAGAAATCCTTCACCAAACTAATCACACTGTCTCTTACCTAATGATATTGACCCCCAAAAGAAAAGGTCAATATGCGCTGTGTGCTTCCTGGAAGTGAACACTGGACTTTATATATTCCTTAAGGATCTTGGTCTTCAATATAAAGCTTATAAATACACCTAAATAAGTATTATCCTCAGAGGATAATCCAAAGTGAAAGGAAAGAGGAATCCTCATAGTGCATATCAACTATTTAATGCGCTATGAAGATAATTGTTTGGTGCCACTCAGAAAGGTGCCAGTGTGCATAAACTGTAACTAGTCCAAGTTATGAGGCAGCAGATATCTAAAGATAAGCTGGGATCAGATAGCAATAGATGCAGAGTACAAGCCAAGTTAGACTGGAAACAAATCCGAAAATATATTAGCAACCTGCTGTATCGGGATATCTGATCAGGCACTCACTGAGTGTTTTGATCCCAGTTTCAAGTCTACTGACTGCAGCTTGATCATGCAACAGTGCTGAATGTTGTCCAGTGGAAGGCTAGGGCAAGCATTTATACCCAGCAGGTTTGAACACCGCAGGAAGACTGCAAGTAGTACATAGCTGTGTGCTGAGCATTATAGACGTCCTCCAGGAAAAAAGTTAAGTAACCCTTTACTATGTCCCTTACCTTCACTTCGCTGTCACTCTATTCAGCTGTTGAATAAAAAGTCATGTGTAAGCTCCAAGCTGTCTTGTCTCAGCTTACATTGGGTTGAGAACTTACTCTCTCATCCCAAGTTACAGTGCAGGGCATTTTTAATTTACTTTTGAAGGACACAGTATGAGCTCTAAAATCAGACATACTTGTTGCTAGGTGAGGTGCTGCCATGCATATACACCAACCAGCCACTTTATTAGGTACACCTGTTCAATTGCTTGGTAACACAAATTTCTAATCAGCCAAACACATGCCAGCAGCTCAGTGAAGTTAGGCATCTAGACGTGCTGAAGACAACTTGCTGAAGTTAAAAGAGCATCAAAATGGGGAAGAAAGGGGATTTAAGTAACTTTGAATGTGGCATGGTTGTTGGTGCCAGATGGGCTAGTCTGAGTATTTCAATAACTGCTGATCTACTGGGATTTTCACACACAACCATCTCTAGGGTTTACAGAGAATGGTGCGAAAAAGAGAAAATATCCAGTCAGCGGCAGTTGTGTGAATGAAGACGCCTTGTTGATGTCAGAGGAGAATGGGCAGACAGGTTTGAGATGATAGAAAGGTAACAGCAACTCAAATAAAAACTCATTACAACCAAGGTATGCATAATACCATCTCTGAACGCACAACATATCGAACCTTGAAGCAGATGGGTTACAGCAGCAGAAGACCACACCGGGTGCCACTCCTGTCAGCTAAAAACAGGAATAGGAGGCTACAAATCGCACAGACTCACCAAAATTGGACAGAAGAAGATCGGAAAAACATTGTCTGGTCTGATGAGTCTCCATTTCAGCTGTGAGATTCAGATTGTAGGGTCAGAATTTGGCATAAACGGCATGAAAGCATGGATCCATCCTGCCTTGTATCAATGGTTCATGGATGTGCAGCCAAAAAAATCTGCAGCAACTGTGTGATGCCATCATGTCAATATGGACCAAAATCTCTGAGGAATGTTTCCAAAACCTTGTTGAATCTATGCCATGGCAGTTCTGAAGGCAAAATTGGGTTCAACTTGGTACTAGCAAGGTGTACCTAATAAAGTGGCCAGTGAGTGTAGAACTAAACCAAAATCTACAATAGAACATCCCCAGCTCAGTGTTTCTCTGCACAGTTGATATTCAGAGATGGCCTCCAACTTCACAGTCCTCTCCCAAAAGGCAATAAGATTAGGAATGTAAATCACTGAACAGTATCATTAATAAATGGCAATAATGTACATTATGTAGAACAAAATGAGTCTACACTAGAACATCCTCCAACAACCGATTTTATCATGGTTGGTTTTCAAAGCTGGCTCCAACTTTACAGTCCTCCCCAAAAGACAATGAGATTGGGGATATAAATCACTACACAGCCCCTACCAATAAGTGGAAAGAGTGTAGCTCTTTTTCTTGAGGGCCCCTTCAAAATGGAAAAATGTTTATTTAGCAAGGTTATGTGAAGGAAAACAAAACACAAATAGGAAATTGCTAGACTAGACTACTTAAATACAAAATTGTACTTAACTAGGCAAAAATAGTACAAATTGAAATAAACTGAAAAACACAGGATTAAACAGCTTGAATCAGATTAGAAATCATTGTGTGCAAACAAGCAAAAAATACTACTAGAACCACAAACCATATGGTGCATATAAGTAAAAAAATACTCAAAGACGAACAATTATTAGGTGCTTTGAAGTGCTAAACAAAAATCACATACCTTTCCCTCTGGCACTGTAATATTAGCTGCTGGTGAGGACTCAGTGGTTGATGTTGATGGAAACATATGAAAGCTGGCATCTCTAGGTGACCGCACAATTTCATTTTGCCGGTAAAGTCGGTGATGCCTTAGCTTCGACACCCATGCATCAAATGTATCCTGAGATTTTACCTATGGAGAGGAAAATACACATTTAATTGCTAAATTCACATCCGTTTACTATATTATTTTCAAATCTTACCGATACCAATTCCGAGACGGGAATTGTAACATTACATGCCTCCAAACCGAGAGGTGGTATTGGCTTTCCTAATCTTCACGCGTATTTCCAAGCCGCTCAAATTGCTCAAGTGAGCTACACCACTGCTAGGGGATCCCCCCCCCCCCGGGTTTCTATCGAAGTTCTCACCTGCCACCCCCTAGCAGTCGATGCATTACTTTGGTTTCCTAATCGATCGCGCCCTCCTATACTATGTCCCACTTTGTCGCATTCTTTGACAATTTGGGATAAGGGTATGCCACCTCAAGTCATTAGCATCCCCATACACACCCTTAGCTCCATTTTTTTCATAACCCTGAATTTGTACCTGGCTTAGTACCTGCCCATTTTCAATGGTGGATCAATAAAGGGCTATTGTGGATAGGAGACTACCTTAATGGTGCCTGAATACACTCTTTAGAGCAATTTAAAGATAAGCTACAATGCCTACTACCGAAATCTTCAGATACAACCAGTTTGTCTCATTTATCCGCTCAAAGCTTACTTTATTGGATGAACCAGCCTTTACTCACCAACTTTGAACTTTCCTGACAGAATAGGAATTTCCCCAGAGGCCGTGACTCCAGTGTATGCTCTCCTTACTGACCCGAGCTGTAAGCGTCCCTGGATGGGACCTGAATATCAATTACAAACCATTGGATTGGCAAGATACTGCCTTGGCACAATTTAAAATTTCCATCAATACTTCCCTAATTGAAGAAAACTATAAAACATTGTTGAGATGGTACTTGGTCCCTGCTTGGACTGCGAGGATGCATCCATCTGCTTCTGTGATATGTTTCCGGCGTTGTGGCCAGGTGGGTTCTATGTATCACATCTGGAGGCAATATCTGATAGCAACCAGATTTTGGATTTGCATGTTTAATTTTATCAATTCAGTGACGAGGGTAAGTATTTGCAGATCCCCGGAGATGGCCCTTTTTCATAAATTTCCGGATAATGTTCCCAAGAAGTCCCATAAATTGATCACCTATATGCTGTTGGCAGCGAGAATTACTATAGCTAGACATTGGAAGCAATCGGTTATCTCGCTTGACTATGTTAAGAATCAATTGCATTGGATTATGATTAACGACAAACTCACCTGTATTCTACATAATGATACTAAAAAAAAAAAAATCTGACAAAACATGGGACCCGTAGATTCAATATATTTCTGTGCCTTAATGTCCCTCATCTTGACCTTCTCCTTCGCTTTCTCTATTCTCTTTTCTCTATTTGGCATTATTCTCTCTTCTGTTTAGTTGGGTGGGTTACGCCCAATCCCTATTTATGTTGCAACATTTGTCCTGTCTCAATGACAACTACTCTGTTACAAACCTTGTTATTTGCGGTGTTCTAGAATTTACATTTTTTTTTTTACAGGACATTGTTAGTTTGTATTACTTGTTATCTGAAAATTATTCAATAAAAACTATTGGAATATAAATTAAGAATCTACCACAGGGTAGCTATAGCAAGCCTGTGTACAGAATCTTATGTTGGATAAAGGGAAGTATCAAACACTCACTCAAACCAAAATGAAAAAAAAAACAGTATAGGTGGAATACTGCTATATTATGAGGACCTTTTTAAAGAAAAGAGCAATTTTGGTGTGCAAAGTATTGTAAACCAATAGCAAACAGATTTCACCCTCACTTTAGATCAGGCAGAACAGTTACCGTTAATTGACAATTGGCTGCTATGAGGTTTCGGCAGTCTGCAGACTTAATTTTCACCATAATAAATTGTAGCACTAAAGCAAACCTGTTCAGTGTTCAACCTTTTAAAAATACCATCTAAGAATAGGTTTTAGTTTTACTGAATCAATATACAAAAAGAAAACTGCATGAGGTCAACTGAGAGAAAAAAAATCTATTCTATTATTTTAGATATTATAAAAAATAAACAAAAAGCAGTAGGGATGCACCGAAATTCCAGTGGCCGAAACATTTCGGCCAAAAACACCCCTTTCGGCTGAAATGAAAAAAAAAAAAAAAGCACCTACACGGGTGCCGGAAAAACCCCGCCCCTCACTGCCGCCACCGGCCCCACGCTCTGTAATTCAGTCTTACCCGAGAAACCATCAATCCCGATGCTGGGCATAGAGATGGGTGAAAGAAAGATGGCTGCCACACATCTCTATGCCCTTGGATGACTGGAGCGATGTCACTTCCGGTTCCGGCCATTTTTTTTTTTTTTTTTTTAAGCACTAGACCAATGCTTTTTTGATCCAATGCTTTACATTGCAGAGGAGAGATGTGGGGTCTTATTGACCCCATATCTCTCCATAAAGAGGACCTGTCACTAAATATTCCTATAACAAGGGATGCATGCATTTCTTGTGATAAGAATAAAAGTGATTAAAATATTTTTAAAAAAGGAACAGTGCAAAAAAAAAAAAAAAAAAAAACAACTTATTAAACACATTTTTTTTTAAAAAAGTTTAAAGTGCCCCTGTCCCCCCATGCGCATGTAGTGGTGAACGCATATGTAGGCCACGCCCACATATGTAAATGGTGTTCAAACCACACACGTGAGGTATCGCCATGAACGTCGGAGCAAGAGCAATAATTCTCACACTAGACCTCCTCTGTAACATTACACTAACCTGTAGAAATTTTTAAAGCATCACCCATGGAGATTTGTAAGTACCGCAGTTTCATGCCATTCCACGAGAGTGAGCAATTTTAAAGCCTGACATGTTGGGTATCTATTTACTTGCCGTAACATCTTCTTACATATTTTACAAAACAATTGAGGTATATATATTTTTTTAATCAAAGTGTATTTTTTTCCAAAAAATATATATTCATTTTTAAAAACTGCGCATTTTGGTTTTTGGCCATATGCATTTTGCGTTTTCGTCACCAGAATTTCCATTTCAGTGCACCACTAAAAAGCAGAGAAGAAATATATGTATAACAACTCAACCTTAAGATGGTAGATGTTCTCCTCTGTGTCCAGGTCTATCCTCCGTGCCTTCTTCTTAATGGACATGACAGACAAGCCAACATCAATACTTCCATGTACTTTTCCTTTCTGAGTCTACAGGAAAATCATAAAACCGAATAGACAAAGTAATATTCTAAGCAATTAACACAAAAGCCTACCAAATTTGCTTCATTTAGATACAGTCAATTATAGACTGACATCAAATCACTTTTTATCAGTGTTAAGAGGAAAGCTGAATGCAGAAGACTAAACCCAAACACTAGTGTACTTACATCGATGGGCGATTTTGAATATTTCAATATTCCATTTTCTAACACGAAAAATCTCTGTAATAAAAATAAATTATTCTTTGTAGACTCCATAAATCAACACAGTTACACACTTGCGCCAGTATATTATTAAACTTTATGGGGAAATCACTATTGACAGGCACTATACTACATCTAGTGATGGAAGAAGACAAGAGAAATTACAAACATCCCTCTTCAGTGTTAGGATCCATTAAGGAGGAGTAAATGGTTTGTTTTTTTTTTTTTTTTTTGTTTTTTTTAATGGTTTTGACTGTATCTCTAAAAAATGTTGTGAAACCTAAGGTCATAAAAATATTAGTTGTAGAGAGCATGTCAAAACACAAGCTGCATTTAATAATGGCAACAGATGAATACAAATTCAGCATGGTTAGCAGGGACCAGCCAAATTTTAATCCTTGTATCGAAAGGGTGGTTGTACAGAAGTCGAACTACTGATCAACGTCTGTGCCCTGTTGGATTTTTTTACTACTCGATCAGTTCCTCTGGCTATAGCCTGCAATGTTGATTGGCATATTCTGATGGCAGAGTCTTTCCACTGTCAAAATACAATAGCTCAGCGGGGAGGATATCCCCCATCCACATTAAATGTGTGGATGGGGGAATCAGGTCTTTTTTTCGTTCAACTGGCTGATCTCATCTATGGCCAGCCTTAATCGCAAGTAGACAACACTGATAATAACCACAGTAGTAGTCTGTCCACAATGGCTGTGTTGTACCTGCTGAAAGAATACAGTGTATGCAACCTCTGATAAGTGTTTAAGAAACTAATCTCTGCCTACTGGCAGCTATGGCCACTATAGACCTTTATGTTGTAAGCCTGTGACTCAAAGATGGCCTAAAGCAAAGCCCTTCCAGGAAGAAGTGAACACACTGACTGCCTACCAAGTATATAACCATACTGATCACATCAGCAGCACAATAACTTAATTCAGAATTCCCTTAGGTATTAAATTCAGTGCTTGCCCTGTCTAAATATTCACTGGTGTGCAAACTCTGGATCTCTGGATGTAGCATCCAGGCTCTTTTATCTTTGTTTTTATGTGTTCTTTTAAATCATCTGAGGGCTTTCAAGAATAAAGGATTTTATGGTGTTTTTTGAAGACTATAGTCAAACTCCCGCCCCCCCACCACCCCTATGAAAAAAGAAACTTACTTTGTGCCAGCCTTTCAATGGCCATTTTCTCTTCTTTAACATAAATCCTTCATGTTTTTCTGGCTTCTGCACACTGGTCTGTCCTATCTTCAGTCCTTCTATGATTTCCCAATTATCTCCTTCCTGTGAAAGCAATACAAAATAATATTGGTGAAACACAATTAGGCATTATTATACATGCCACCTGACAATCTACCATTACATCAAAAATACCACTACCAACAATCAAGCCCCCAGTAGGTACAGTATATGAACCTGTGTAAAGTAACAAATCTAAAGTGGTGGTAAACACTTACATATACCCAGTGAAGGGACTAGGTGATAAACATAGATGAAACAAATCCTCCTATATAAGTTGTACCTGATTATCTGCAGCACCCTCTGCTGCTGTTTAAAAGTGCAGAATTTAAAAGAGGGGGCGGGGGGCTAAAGTTACACTCTGCAAAGCTTAGTGAGAGCTGACTGGTGGAAAGGGACTCGCCCCCCTTCACACAGCGCACAGGAGTAGAGCGGAGGCTGTTAATCACAGGCTGTGTTATGGAGCTCCCTCCTATGTCACCTATTTATCTCTTGGTGTCAAGAAAACCTGTCAGAAGTGACTCATGCAGATAGCAGAGGAACAAGGCAGCAGACAGTGTTGAGGCCAAATCATTCAATTTTAGTCTCATCTACCATACGACATTTGTCTGTGTGGCCTCAGTCTTCAATGTGCATTGAAAGCGCAAAGCTCAGTCCTGACTGCATGTGGCCTTGAGGAGTGACTTTTTTCTCGCAACCCTCCCACATAAGCCATATTTGTGGAGAATTTGTGATATTGTTGTCACAGGCACACAATGGCCATTATGTCATGAATTCCGGCAACTGCTTCAGAGTTGCTGTAGGGCCTCTTGGTAGCCTCTCTGGGCAGTTTTCTCTGGGCTATTTCATCCAGTTTGGACTGACATACTAATCCATGGAGGATCTGTGTTGTACCAAATACCTTCCACTTAATAATAGATGTAGCACTCTCTTAGTGCAGCTAGGGGGAGTTAGACCCCAATGGTTAGTCTGGAGCTGGTTAGTAGCTCTGCTGTGATAGACAGAGGGTCAAATTGTGGTTAGGGCTGAGAGACTCTGCAAGCCATCCCCTCTGAAATTTTCCTGAGGCTTACGGAGGAGGGCATTGGAGGCATTGGGTGGATCTGAGGAGTGGTTGGCTGCACTCTTGACCTCAGCCAATCCGCAACAGAAAGCTTGGCAAGGGGCTGGGACTCTCTTAGCAGTGTAAGAGCCTGCTCAGTGGCAGGAGTGTGGGGGTGGGAGAGTGGACGGAAAAGATGTGAGGCTGGAGGAAGAAGGTTGCCTGGAGGCCTAGAGAGATGGGGCCCGCCTGCGAGCATGGAACTGGAAAGGAGGAAAAATTCGGGACTCACTGACTCCCTGAGCGAGAACCACCTGTTTTGCAGGGAAGGAGCAGCCCAGCTGATAGGCCTGGTAGCAGCAACCTACCCGCAAGCAGTACAAGAAAGGATATGAGTGAGTACACCTGTACCCCCTGGGTAGATAGGGGAAGGATCACTGTCGTGGGAAACCAGATTAGCCCCCTACTAGTGACTGTTCACCTTAAAGGGACAGGAGCCAAATCCCCTGCTCAGAAAGAAAGTCTCCAGATTTCTGGGTAAAGAGGAGTTCATCTAGGGTCTGGGGTGGTACAACGAGGAGCTGCTGGATAGCACTCCACTAGAGACTGTGTTGCTGAAGAAGAAAAGCTTGTGAATAGTTCAGGAAGTTGTCCTCAGATATCGTTCCCCTTGGGCATCCTTTATCCCCGTTAACCTATCCAAGTTCTAATCCCCTAAATAAAATAACAAAACAAATGCTCAAGGACTGATTTCTGTCTCCGGATGAGAGCTTGTGTGGAAAATGCTAAATTACTGGCTGTGCAGGACTATAGGGGGACCTAATTGATCAGCAATCCCTAAGGGGGTAGTGATACATAGACTTTACTGTATTTCTACACATTGATAAAGCCTTTGAATTTTTTTTTGTATCAATCTCCTGACTGTTCCTATTCACAACTTTTTCCTGTAGATCTTTTGACAGTGTCTTGCCACCCATAGTTAATGGTTTGCTTCAGTTGCACTACCAAGGACTGAAATGCTCCAGGAAAGCTCATTTCATGCTAAGCTAATCAGAATGACCACAGCTGATCACAGTTGCAAGTTAAATGGCTTTGTGCACCATTGAGGAGGTAATTAGCTTGATTGAGTTTCAAGCAATTTTTTTTTTTTTTTTTTTTAGGAGGAGGGGTTGATCCTTTTTCCAACTCAGTGATTCTGTTTGTTTTTTTTTCTGATATCTTGGTGTCATATGTTTCACTTGGATGTTTTAAGTTGCACTGATTAAATACAGCTGGATAAAAGAAAAACGCTGTGTCTTCATTTTAGGCTGCAAGCAACAAAATGTGATTCTTTTTCATACCCACTGTAGGTGCACTACCCAAAATGTTCATCGAGGGCTAAATTACATCAATAAATTCCTTTTTTTTTTACATGTGCAAACAGAAATAAATTCAGTGTAAAGTGCATAAATTAATCCAATATATACAGTAATTAAATTGTATAAAAGTCCAAAAAAAGTGCTCAATGCAAAAGTTTTCAGTCCATACTATGTGGTACTGTCTCTTTAGCTTGTCTGTAGAGATCTGGGAATCACTAGTCATAGCATTAAATATTTATTTCTAAAATAAACAGAATTTTTGTTTTCTTACCCAGACCATAATGAAAAAAATTTGCATAAAACCCACTATACAATTCATTAAAATATATGTTTAGACAGATATGAATAGAATATGGATGAACTAGAACCCATATCAAGTTTTTTATTGCTGTCTGGGTCCTGGCTGAGTACATTCGTCTTGTTTCTCCTGGTGTCCATTGTCTCCGAGACAGTGATGAGAAGTTCAATATATTACAGTTATCACTGGAATGAGAGCAGAGGGTAATTCTTCTAATGAGGACACCTGTTCAAGGGACAAGTGACTAAGAGGGGAATTCCTCCCAGTTTTTGGAGTTTTCCTCGCACTCCGTTGCTTAGTGCCACAAACTTCCCAAACAGAATGCAGCACAATTAGCAAAATCCTCTCTCTTTCAAGTTACTACCCCAGGGTAAAATCTGGCTCAGCTCCCAGATTCTCATTCCCTAAACTTTATTCGGATAAATTATTTACCTTCTCCACTTGTACACTTTATTCTTCATTTTATGAATGCAAATTCCACCCATTAGAGCTGATAAATTCATAATTTTACCACACATTTGTATACTAAATTAGAGAAAATTTTAATTAATTATGTATCATTCTGAGGAAAGTAGAAATTAATTGTTTCTCATTATGAACTGAGTAAATAAAATTGAGGATGAAGAAGCCATTTTGAGTGTATTTACAGTTGTGACAAAAAAGTTTGTGAACACTCAGGAAATGGACTTTTTTTTTTTCTTACTTATAAATGAACAATTTCTAAAATGTGATCTGCTCTTCTTAGCAATATCAAAAATAGCCTTATTTTACAGTGATGAATGTTTAATGTCAATCACAGCCAATGAGGAGAGAGAGGGCGGGGCCAAGCCATGGCTGTGTGTGTGAATGAACATGCAGAGCATCGGCTCAGGAGTCTGCTTGGGTGCCCACATAGCAAGCTGCTTGCTCCAGGGGCACTCGGCAGGAGGGAGGTGCCAGGAGCGCCGACAGGGGACCCAAGAGGAGGAAGATCAGGGCTGCTCTGTGCAAAACAACTGCACAGAGCAGGTAAGTATACAATGTTTGGTTTTTTTATTGTATTTAATAACACTTTAATAAATACTTTAAACTATCAAGTTCAATTATGTCGAAAAAAAAATATTAGTCCCTACATTTTTTAGTTAAAGCTGAAGTCCAGACATATAAAAATACCAAAATTAACTCATTAACATTGTAATTAACACATCAATCCATGTATTTTTCTTTTTAATTTGCCAGTAGTGAAAGTACCTAAATGTGATTTGGTATCCACCTTGTGCAATCCCCTGTTTAGCAGAGCTCAGAATGGGGAAGGGAGAAGCAGCACAAGGAGCCAATAAAGTGCTCATGTACCAACAAGGGACATTGAGGAGAGAGCAGTGACTGAGAAATTCATCAGCCTACTGTTTCTCCTTTTGCTGTCCAGTCACAGGGTGCAGGAGGAACCTGTAGGTGCCTGTAAGAATGAATGAATGAAAGGTCTCCAACCTTGATAGACAGGGCTGCACTGTGTGATGGGTGTAAATCTCAGGAATGCAAATACTTTAGCAGGTAAAACAGATCTTCTATAAGCATTTCATCTGCACAGTTATCTATCTGCCCACAGTTCAGCTTTAATGGACCTTTATTGGCAATAACCTCAACACAGCACTTTCTTATCAGACCTACACAGCAATTGAAGTGGAACTAGACTGAGGCAATGTCATCATTCTAATGACTCATAAGTCGGGAGGCATTCAGCAGCTGTTTTTAAAATTTTGCTAATTATGTCAAAGCACCATGCAGCTGCAAGGCAGCCACCATATTCGTGGATCACAGGACAACTCATCCTTTTCCTAGACCCAAAACACCCAATGACACAAAGGAAATATTGGGTGGGATTTGCCTTTATCCCTGTATGCAAATCTGCATCAATTTATATAAATTTATGGGATGTCTTTCTTGAATGGCTTTCTTCAGATCACAGCACAACATTTCAATGGGACTGAAGTCAGGGCTCTGCCGTAACCATTTCACAAACACCTTGAACGTTGCACATCCACACACCCTCATAGTGGCCACTAGTTGTCCGATTCATCTGGCAATGGTGGAGGAGCTGTAGCCACCAAGCAGCGTTGGGACATTTCCCTTGTGCATTTTTGGAGCAGGACAGAGTAAAGCGAGGACAATGTCGTCACTGAGGTGGAAAGGTTTTGGTCTCAAGACTACCTTGTTATTATGGTAAATAAGAAAATTCTCTTTACAAGAAAGGGCAGCCAACTCAGAAACACACCTAAAAGATGTAATGGCCACCAGGAAGGCAACCTTACACGTGAGATCTCCCAAAAGGAAATGCCTAATCGGCTCAAAAGAGGGCCTCTGAAGTACAGAGAGCACCAAGTTGGGA